CATTAAGTAGCAGCTGGTGATGACACTATAACGATTTCTGCGGTCGCATCTTGAATGTGACTGGTGAAAGATGTACTGCCTGGGATGATCTGGGACCTGTTGTTTTGCTGCCATAATATTCTAGACTGTCATGGGCCTTTTTGGACTATATCTTTTGTCAAAAACCTGAACCCACACAAAACATCTGGAGTAGCTTATGCCCTGCTGTTACGAATTCTGTCTCATTGTTAAATTCCAAATTTCTTTATTTTTTCAGCCTAGTCACTGTTTACAGTTGTCCGCTAAAGCCTGAAATATTATTTGTGCTGTGGTGTATGAGCATTGCCAGTTTATATTTATTGCAGTGAAGAAACTGAAAACATTGAAATCATGGGCATGTCCACGTTCCTATGTTTGTGTGGGTGCATGTGGGAGAAGTAAGTTGGGGTCTCTTGAAAGGAGGCTTTTTGGAGTGGGGCCTCCCAGCGTCTTGTTGGTGTCCCTGCTTGGGGATCACTGCTGCTAGCGGACTGGACCTCCCCGGCAAGTCTGTGATCTACTTTGGCAAAGTTTCATTGACCAGTGAACTCATTCTGTTGTAGTGCGTATTTCAGTATAAATGTAAACATTTCACTTAAACTGCTGTCTTTCTGCTTCCTTTATCGTGTGAATGGAGAAAAGAAGGGGTGGGTTTTTCCTATCATCTCACAAGCCAATTGGATACTTAGATCTGCTTCTTTTCTGTGTGAATGCACCAAGCTGACCCTCTGGTTAATCTCCTTAGGGGTGTAGGCTGATAGGGTGGGATGAGCGGATACAAGGAATCCTAAGTAGATATATGGGAAAATTGTTAAAGTGTTTCCGATTGGTTAAGAATATCTGACAGTTAAAAACAGAATTAACTTTTATTTTTGGTCTTTTGACTCTTTTTCTCATTTCAGTCTTTAGAATTTATTCACATTTAAATGTCTCAGCTTCTACTGTTTCTCCATTTCTCACACTAATAATCACCAGTTTTCTGATTTACACCGGAATATGACATAATGTGACTGTGGAGCCCAGGACAGGAAACTTGAACATGGACACAGTTCTCATCACCTTCCCTCGCCTCCCCAAACCGAAACGCCGGCCCCACATGCAGCCTCTTTAGAGCGTTATGACTAGAACAAGGTTCAGTTGCTCAACTGACCATCAGGCCTGTCCCGATGACTAACCACACCCACCCCAGCAGTAAGGACAGTAAATTGCTATGTCATATCATGTTCTTAGCAGCTGAATATGTCTGTGGTTTTTGTAACATTCACCTTTATCACTCAAGTGCAGCAATGCTATTGGTCACAATGGCCTACTCCTAGGAGAGGACACATTTTGGAGATATTAAACTGAGGTGTTTTTGTTTTTCTGTTTGCCCTCCCCCCATATCTAATCACGCCAAGTTCCTCCCACCCCAGAGACCTTGCCTTTGTGAGCAGCGGGAAAGCAGCCTGCGTCCTGGGCTTTGCTGACTGTGCCCACACTCTCCCCTGTGAGCCTCTTCCATGGCGCAGCAGTGTGGCAGGAGGGAAAGCCCTTGCCACATCTACTTGGGAAAAACTGACAAAACCAGCAGGAGAGCCCATCTACTTTTTCCCCGGCCGTGATGGGTAAAATTCTGTTTTTTAATCCTCACCCAAGGACATGCTTGGAGAGAGAGAGAAAAACATCGATGTGATAGAGAAACATTGATCTGTTGCCTTCTGCACACACCCCTACTGGGGATCGAACCTGCAATCCAGGTATGTGTCCTGACGGGGAATTGGACCAGCAACCTTTTGGTGTATAGGACGATGCTCATGCTATTTAGCCACACTTCTGGGCTGATGGGTGAAATCTTAACTCAGCTACATATTTCTTCATAGTCACAAAGCAAAGACCTTAAATGTTTCGCTAAACAGTCTTATTTTTTAATATTTTTAATTTTTTCCCTTACGAAGGGAGAGGGAGAAACATCAATAAGAAAGAGAAACATTGATCACTTGCCTCCCTTACACACCCTTAACAGGCCGAAGCAGTGACCTTTCAGTGCACAGGACAGGATGACACTCCACCAACTGAGCCATACTGGCCAGGGCCATCGTCCTTTTTTTGGCCTGGTTTTATGTTATACCTCTTGCATTTTGCTTACCTGCTGGCTTATTTTAGTTTAACTCAGCACATCAACATACAGGGTGGGGCAAAAGTAGATTTATAGGTGTTCCTGTGGAACATACAATCAATATAAAAGGCTAAGTGACCATCCGATTGGTAGCTATGACATGCAGTGACCACCAGGGGGCAGACGCTCACTATAGGAGCTGCTGAGCTGCCATGACCTGGCAGCTGTAGTTCTCTGGTGGCACACCCAGGAACCAGAGAGGAGGGAGCCCAATTCCCGGTACGTCACCTGAGAACTGCCTTCTCGCAATCCAGGACCGCTCTGGGGATGTCGGAGAGCCGATTTCAGCCCAATCCCCACAAGCCAGGCCGAGGAACCCCACCTGCCGGAGGGACCCCCACTCTGCAAACGCCCTTCGAGCCCCGGCGCTGGCCCAGGAGAGACCACAGGAGGCTGGTCCCAGGGCATGTCCGGCTTGTCTCGCTCAGTCCCGCCCTGGCCGGCTGCCACCTAATTAATTTCTTTTCACTGTGCACGAATCCGTGCACCAGGGCACTAGTGATCAATAAAATTCAAGAGTAAACTTGCTTGAACTCATTATTGTAAACCTACTTTTGTGCTACCCTGTATGTATCAAAAAACACTAAATAGAAATGTATTTTACACACTGATCAAGCTTCAACAGCACACCTATAAAGAATTCATGACTCAGTATATTGCAGCATGCTCATTGATAACCACTGATAGCCCAAGATATTAAATATAATGTCCTCTCCATGACCTGGCCCTCCAGTTCATATCTTCCCACCCCTTACTTGGAACTTCCTTGCCAATAGTATTGAAC